TATTGACAACATATCTGAAAATAGCAAATGTTTGATAAACAGTACTTGAATGAGTGAGTATAAATGTATACTGACATTTTGGGAAATTCTCAATTTAAATAGGATTTTTCCCATTATCTCAAAACTACTTTGATTTTTGTATAAATGAAAACTTTATTTTATATTCAGCCACATTAAGACAACTAAAAAATATTATATTCAGCTAATTAAGACAATTAAGCAATTCTATACATGATTAATTCATTAATTCATTCAACAAATATTTATTTAGTACCTAGAGTTATAGCAGAGAACAAACAGAAAGACAAAACAAATCACCCTGCTCTCATGTAGCTTACTTTCTAGCACTGAAAGAAAAAAACAAGATAAATAAGGAAGATATATAGAATGTTACATAGTGAGAAGTGCTAAGGAGAAAATGAAAGCAAGAAAATGCATTAAGAAGTGTGTGTGTGGTGGAGAGGAGTGGGGGTTGGAAGTTAGTGCTGCTAATGACCTCACTGAGAAAGCAACCTTTGAGTCAAGTCTGGACGGAGGTGTGGGAAAGTGTCTCATGGGATCCAGAAGAACATTCCAAGCACAGGGAACAACATCAGCAAAGTCCCTAAAGAGAGAAGGCTGAAGCAAGTGAATCTGGGGAAGAGAAGTAGGAGATCAGGTCAAAGAGGTAAAGGGTTTTTATTAGTAAGATAAGAAGCTATTGGAGTTTTGAGTAGAGTGACTTCATGTGACTTCTGTTGTAACAGGATCACTTTGGCTGCTGTGTTAATAGATAGAAAGGGGCAAGGGTGGAAGCAAGGAGATAAATTAGGAGGCAATTTCAAGGTGTACCAGTAGAGGTAATCAGATTTTGGTTATATTTTTAGGATAGAAACAACAGGACTTTCTAAAGGATCAGATTGTAGGTATGAGAGAAAGAGAGGAGTCAAGGATAATCCCAAGGTTGAGAAAGAGGAAGGATGGAATTGTCTGTTACTGAAATGGAAAAACTAAAAAGAAGTTTGATGGGAGGGAAGATGAGGAGTTCAATTTTGAACATCTTAAGTTTGAGATGAATTACCAGGCATACAAACGGAAATGTTAATTTGGCAGCTGTATACACAAGTCTGGAGTTCAGAGGAGAGGTCCAAGCTGGAGATAAAAATTTTTGAGTATAGATGGTATTAAAGCCTTGAGAATAGATAAGATCATCAAAGGAAATGAGTCTAGGTAGAAAAGAGGTCCTAGGATTAAGCTCTAGGGTACTCCAGTGTTTAGAGGTCAAGAAAATGAGGAGAAACTAACAGAGAAGACTAAGAGGAATAGTCTGAGTAGTAGGAGGAAAGCCAGGAGGGTGCGATATACCAGAGTCCACATAAAGAAAACGTTTCCAGGAAAAGTTAAGTGATTATTTATGTCAACGTTGAACAAATTCCTTAATGACCATACATTCAATTTAGTACATATGTACCAATTTTGGAATAATTTTAATATTTTGACATCTATAATCATTAAGGATATTGGACAAAAATTTTATCAATAATCAGGATTTACTTAGTTTTAGAGCATACCAAGTACTGTTGTAGAATATATTATTATACATGTGTATATGTATGTATATATATTTTAAATTAATTTTTAAATCTAGAACAGCATTTCCTGAAACCCTATTCCAAGGGTTATCAAGATTTTATGAGCAAAAAAGGTTCTGGCCACACGTAAGTATGGAAAATGCTGATGTGCATTATAAATTTCCAAAAAAGAATGCAACAATTTCCAAACTTATGTCATTACAGAATCCTTTTGGTTTACACAGTCTCTTTTAGCTGTATCAGGCATTCTGAGTCATGTAGTTTGGGAAATATTGAGTTAAAAGCCTGGACATATTTTTTTGTCCTCACTGTAGCAAAATTTGTGTCAGCAAAGCAGCTGGGGGATATTTTCTTTCTGCCACTTCAACACTTTTCTGAAAACAAGATCTTTCTGCTTCTACATCACTTATGCTAGAAGATATGATGACCTCTGCATTATTTCTACACTGATAGTTCTGTCTGTCCTTAGATTTTCTACTATTACTCATCAAGTGCCAAAATGAAGATATGCTTAATTTCTTTAAAAATGAACATAAAGCTCCAGCAAATAAATAAAATATGTAAAGCACATTCAATTAATACATTTTAAATTAGTTGGAATAATGTATACTTACAGATTAAGTATAACCGAACATGATCATTTAATCAGCAACATGTTATACATAATGCTTGTGATAAAATTACTTTCCCTTTATGGGAACTGTCCATTTTAATGGTTCTGCGGTGTTCTTCTTATGTCTCCCCATAGTCTTTCTTTGAAATATGTGGAACATAAATAATTTTTAAAAAATACAATTTCTATTATTTCTCTAAAAGTCTAACATTAGTTTAGTTCCCCTCTTTCAACCCTGAAAAATGGGGCAGGACAGAAGATTTGACTTCAAAAAGTACTGTTTATCTCCAGGTCAAAGACAGAAAGGAGAAAAGTAAAAAAGAAGAAAAAGTCAAATAAGAGCACATTACGCCAGTGGAACACCACTTAGCTAAATATCCTCATCTTTTGCCTCAAAATATCAGCTTTGTTTAACGAAGTACTGCAGAGTTGACTGAAAGGTCTGCAGTCCATCCTCACCCACATCCCCTGACTTATCTCTGGTCTGCAGGTATCTCAGCAATTCTCAGACTCAGTTGTAAATGAAAAAAAAGACAGAATTAGGAAAGTATACATCCCATGAACAGAAAGACATGTACTATGTAATATCCCATTTAACTTCACACACACAAAGATGCTCTGATTTTGGTTACTATACTGGAGAAAGATTTCTTGAAGTTTAATTTACTTGCTTTACTCCCAATTCAGTTGTTGGTTGTATAAAAACCTATTCCTTTTTTCCAGTTTTATTGAAATATAACTGACATGAAACTTTGTATTAGTTTAAGGTATACAACATAATGATTTGATATATGTATATATTGCAAAATGAAAAACCTATTTCTAAGTTGCCAATTATCTACCAATTATCTACCTGGCATTTCTCTTCTAGAGACCATCAAAATTCAGGTTATAGGTCTATTTGTCCTAAATATGCACCTCTGTGAGTATAAGTTAAATTCGGTCATTTAATAAATATGTTCTAAGTGCCTACCACATGTCAGGCACTGTTCTGGGTACTGGGGGGAAACACTGGTGAATAGTATGTCAGTCAGAGATAAGTACCATGGAGAAAAATAGAGCAGGGAAGGGGAATAGGATCCCACAGGGTGGGGGTGAGGTTGGTCAGCAAAGGCCTTACTAAGGTGACAAATCATGACCTGAAGGGTCTGAAGATTAGGGATTAAACCACACAGATGTCAAGGCAAAAGCATTCCAAGCACAGGGAATATCAAGTACAAAATTCCTGAGGCAGAAGAAAGTTTTGCGTTTCTGAGGATCAGCTAGGAGACCAGAGTGGCTAGGGCTGATTGTTAGGAGATGAGATAGAAGGGGAGAGCAAAGGCAGATCAGGTAAGGCCCTGGAGACTATTATAAGGACTTTGGCTTATAATTGGAGTGAGAGGAGAAATGGAGGATTCTGAACAGAAGTAGTTAAACAACCTAGAATTTACAGTACCTGAAATGTCTAAATGAAAAGAGCAGTAGCTATGGGGAGAATTAGTCCACAAATATTTACTGAATCGATACTATTTACTAGAATTTTCCTTAGCACCGGGCATACAATGGTAAGTAAAACGCACATTAGTCCTTGCCCTCATGAAGCTTTAGTCTTGTGGATAAGAATATTAACAAATGATTAAGCAAATAATTACAACTATGCTAGGTATGAGAAAAACTGGGTGATTTATGAAAGAATAATGAGGGAGGGAAGTCTAATCTAGTCTGGGCTGTGGGGGAAGGCTTCTTTGAAGAAAAAAGTATTTAAAGTCAGATTGGTAATATAAGTAGGAGTAAGTTAAGTGAAGAGGGATAAGAGGGCCGAGAGCATTCCAAGCAGAAAGTATCTGCAAAAATCCCTGCAGGAAAAAAAAAATTGGCGTCTTCAGGAAATTGGAAGACCATTGTGGCTGGAGCTAAGTAGGCAAAAAGAATGACTGAAGATTTTGGGTTGATTCTAAGGTAAGTAAGACACCAAGAGTTTAAAGCAGGAGACCAAAAAGATTAGAGGTGTATTTTTTAAAGATGACTCTAAAAGCAGTAAGATTAGAGCAGACAAGAGTGAACACAGGAGACCAGTCAAGAGCTATTGTAGAAGTGCAGGCAAAGATGATGGTACGTAGCACAAATAAGTGTAGTGAACATAAGAACAGAAAGAGATGGACAGTTTGAAAGATATTTAGGAGGTAGAAAAGACAGAATTTGATGATGGGTTAGATTCATGAGGGTTGAGGAAGGTCAAGAATGGCTGAGTTTGCCTAACTACTTTTCTTGACCTTTTTCATAGGTAGATCCTACCTTCTCCATGGAGAGGAGATAAATATCAATGCGATTCTTTTGGGGGAAGGAACAACAAAAAATTGATCATATGTAATAATGAGCCTTTATGCCACTGCTGCCAATTGTCATACACAAGAGAGCCTCAAATTTGCATGATCTATGAGATTTGTTCTGTTTCCATCAGTGCATGAAGCTTGGCTATGACTGTTCAGAAAAACAAAGCAGTTGGATTCTACATTTAAAATCTTCTGATAAATATTCATGTTGCTAGGATTCTATACATTTATATAATTTGTAAGCAGAGAATATCAATATTTTCTACAAAGTTCCATCACAGCTTAAATAAGTAATCCCAGGGCACCAAATAAATTTTTCAGTACACTAAAGCACTAAAGAATTAGTTCTTCGCCAATGAATTGGAATGTACAACCCCTGGAAGGAAAAGCCATTCCCTACTGTTCCAAGATACAGTAAAACACCTACTCCTAACCAATGCTATCACCAAAAAGGTGGATATCTCTTTTTAGGGAAACAGTTGAATAAGTTAATGCCAGTGACTTAAATCATTAAAGATAAATTTAGTTAGAGAAAGAAAAATTGGCATTTTCTCTTCTAGAGACCATCAAACTCCTAGTCATGCTAACTGTATTCTCTATAGCCTATCTCCATGGAGTCCCCAAACAACGCTAAACTAAGTGGGGGGGGGTTGTTTTCCATTAGGCCAGAAAGATAAAAGTAAAAAATTTTAAAAAGAAAAAACATTTCATACAATCTTTCTACTAGTATGAGGTTGAACCAACATTAAATGTTATAACAGTCTGGGTGTCAGAGTAGATGGTATTAGAATATTAAATAAAATACCCAGAAGGCCGATAGGCTTTCTCTGCACTCTGAAATTAAACACTATCTCATTAATTAGACCAGAAGTCAAACTGATATTAACTGTTAATTCTTTTGCCATAAGTAGTAGCATGAAGTGAAAAGAAACACGGAGTCTCGTAAAAATCCAAATGCATAGAAAGACATTAGTACTAAAATGATACTCCTAGATCAGTGACTGCAACTCATAGGAAAAAATGCATTTTATTTAACGACCAAATACACAAGGACAAACACACACACATTCACACGTATATATAATTAAAACAATATTTACTCTTACCATGTGGGATGCATTGTGAAATTTTCTGCTCTATGTTCTTTCATTTAAAAAATTGCTGGTCACAACTTAGTAAACAAATTTTGCAAACCACAAATATGTTAGAACACATAACTGCTTTACAGCATTATCAATGCTAATTTATAATTTTAGGGAAATTGATAGTCTTCCTCCTTCTTAGAATTAGCCCACAAGAATACTCTAGGTACTCACCGAAAACAAAAATTAACATAGCCTGGTTACCATGTATCCAGCCTGGACACGGTACCTGCTTTCAGTGTGCTTAAACCACCTACCTTCCCAGGCCCAAGAGCCGAGGATTCCCAGCTCACAACTATGTAACAGGACCCTAGGTCTGTACCGCACATTTTATATAAAAGTCCTTTTTACGTACATTATTTCATTGGATCCTCACAACAACCCTGTGAGGTAGGCAGGGAAATTATTATCAGATTTACTTTACAGATGAAGTTAAGGTTCAGAGAGGTTAAGTGACTTTCTCAGTTATCAAATATCTAGCAAGAGGCAGAAAGAATAAGAAGCATTAACTTTTAGGTTGAAGGCTCTTTTCTCTAAACCACATAGCCTATGAGAGTATAATCTGACCTCAAATATTTTTACCCCTTCATCTTCATTTTCTTATTGTTAACTGAAGTTTTTATAGGATACAACAAAAAACCTGATTCTAAACTTAAGCCAAGTTTATGCCTCTCTACCAATGAAAATTTATGGCCGCAGGACATATATTCTTTTGGAAAGCACTTTTTCCTTGGCTCCAGTCTAAAGGAACATAAACAATATGAAAGACCCTAAAGGCCAAGGAAATTGAAGAGAAATCAGAGGAAAGGATATCAAATGGAACGTATTAATGGATTTCAGTCCCTTTAAGCTTTTACTTTTGTGAGAGAGTTCAATGGAGAGCTTTAATACAGATGAGACTTGAGGCTTTTGAAGAGGATCTAAGTCTTGATGAAGTTATTCAAACTCAAATCTTGAATGCGTAATGATGGTAGGCCCCAAGGTCTTCAAAAACTTGTACTTGATGCTTTAAAATAAAACAAAACACAAAAAAATTCTACTAGCAAATCGAATAAATTTTTTTAAAAGGGTTTTAAAAAGCTATAACTCTGTGACCAGTAATTAATCAGATCACTAGATACCATGCTGAAAGCACAAAAAGAGAAAAACAAAAAGAAACAAAGAACAAGAAAAGGAAAGAAAGACTTTCAAAAGATAGTGTACAGATGGCTAAATATGTTCATTGGCTTCTCTCTTTAATATTCTTTTTTTCAAATTACAACAGAATTTACAGTTCTTACAGAACTACCTTGGGCTATAGTCAGATAAACTGATTTAACGATAATTTCCTGAATCTCTTTGATCGCTATCCATGATATCTGATTGTCTTAAAGGCTTTTGACCTTTGAAAGCACGGCCAAAATATTTGTTGGAAGAGATAGCATAAAATGACGTTGATTTTGTAGGGTAGAGAGAGAAACTGAACTAGGAATATATTATTGTTTGAAAATATTTAAACAGGGAGAAAAGCTAACAAAATTTAGACCACTTTGCAGGTTCAAATGCAAAACATATAGCAAATCTCACTGACTACTTCTGTGCTCATTCTAACTTGTTTCTTTTCACTTTATGTGCTCCTTTAAACCTGCTTTTTTTCCAAGAAAATTTTAAGCCTTTAAAAATTAATAATAGCAACTAATATTTACTGAGTCTATACTTTGTGTCAGGCACAGCTCTAAGCACTTCATGCAGATTAATTCATTTAATTCTCACAACAATCCCATGAATCAGATACTATTATTATCCCCAATTTACAGATGAAGAAACTGAGGCACAGAGAAGTTAAGAAATTCAGGTAGTTTACCTAGCTAGTAAATTGTGGAGTCAAGATTCAAACTCAGGCCCTCTGGCTCCAGAACACCAACCTACACCACTGCTCTACAAAACTGGTTTCAATGCAACAAAATTTACCAGGACTAAGACTTTCTTCAAATCAGCATTGTGTCATGTCACAATCTTTCACTGTATATTCTGATTAGAAAGTGTAGTGACTAATTCAAGTTTCCCAACAGTAGTAATGGAGAATCTGTTTCAGCAGTCACTACTCAGAAGTGACATCCTGCAGGAATGTCAAAGCAGTTTAAAAATAAAGCATGCCAACTAAAATATGAACAGTGGTAGAGGATTATAGGTGACTTGACTCCTTTTTTTTTTTTTGGTTATATAGTATATATACACCCAAATATATTTCTCTCTCTCTCTATATATATATACATACATATATTTCTATATATAGAGAGAGGGAAACGCATTTCTATATTCTAAGTTTTGTAAAGTGGACAAGGATTAATTTTAAAAAAAAAGGTTGTTTAAGCATGCCATCACCATTATTAGCATTAACATATATTAAACTTACACTAAAGTTATTAGATAAGTTTGTTCCTGCTCTATTTAAAGAGGAAAAATTCAAGGTAGAGTAAGCTTTATGGTAATAAGGAAATGATAATAGATATTATTTTCTTAGCATCTAATATAGGCAAACCCTTTACATACATTATTTTTACTCTTCAGTAAATTTCTATTTGAGGCTTGGAATGAATAATGAAGTTAATTAATAGAACAGCTAGTAGATACTGGAGCCCAGAATCTAACCTGTCTTAACCACTCCAGAGTCCATGCTTTCTCTACTATACAATGCAGCCTCTCCAAGTGCCAAAATATCTGACTGTCTTTTGTTACTAAACACACTGAAGAGACATTTGTAAAATTCAGATAGTCTTAAACAGGAAATACTGAACATAAATTATTTAAGTTCCATCAGGGTTATCATTTTAAACACCCATTAACATAGGGCTGTTTTCATCTAATCAAAAGAGCCTGGGTTGCTACAATTTTAAAATTAGTTGCTCTGCTTTCTGACTTTCTTCTTGTCCTTGCTTGTCTATGTGCCTGCGCCTAATAGGAGCACTCGGCCCATTCACAATTTGCTGCTTCTAATAGACTGTGGAGTTAGATGTCAGTCTATTAAGCCTGTTAGAAGTATGTCTAAAAAAAAGTAAATAAACTGAGTAAGGACTTGAGAAAACCATACGGATTTTGTGTCTTATAATTTGGGAGCTCAGGTAATTTTTAAATTTATTTCCTGGTTATGGGTAAATTGAGGGTGGTGGATAAGTGACCAGTGGATAAGTTAGCTGTGAGTATTTAAATACTACAAGGACAACAGAACATATATTTGTACTATCATAAATCACTCTATTGCACTATAAAAAAAATTTAGGCTTTGAAAGGGACTTTCATAATAATCTAGTACAATCTCCCATGCAATGAGAAATTCCCTTTACAGCATTCCTGATGTTCAAACTCTGCTTAAGCAACCCTAATAACCTGGAGTTCACTGCGTCTGGATACAATCTGCTCCACTGTTGACGAGTTCTATATCTTCTCTCATTTAGAACTAATTTTGGCCTCAAATAACAGAGAAGAAGCGTTAATTCCGAGGAAGTTTCTCCCACTTTTCCAAAGTCTTCTATTTTCTGAACAAATAGTCCCAGTCCCCTCAATCTAGAACATCACAGTTGTCCTGTTATATAATCACAAAATTGATTAAAAACAATTCCCTTGTTCTTCAAGATATATCTAATAATGAAATCAGTTTTTGTACACTAATGTTTTATAGGTTAATGGATCTAGTCAATCCATCTTTGTCATACACAAGTGGAACGCTAGGAAAGGCTTATGGACCTAGCTCAAATTCAAATGGAACAGCAATAAATTTTGAGATTCCCCCTTCTATTTCCCCTCCCCAAAACAAAACCACAAAACTGAATCTTAAAAGATACCCTTACCCATAATGTTATATGTTGCTACATTTTAATTTTCTCACTCTCAGGCTTCTGTCTACTTTCCCATCACTTGAACCCTGTAAATGATCTTAAAGCATCCAAAATTCTTTAAGCTGCTCTCACAACCATAAATTGGCCCATGACAGGCCTAGCTCTGAGGCCTTAAAATTCTGACATTTTTTTCTCTTGCACTAACTGGATATCTTCCTATCCAGAATTTTTGGTTTTCCACAAAATGTTATATATATTATATATAAAATGTACTTTATATATAGATATACATTTTATATACATAATGTATTATATATCTATATGCACATACACACACATATACATGTATCTTTCTCAATTCTATGTTATCTACACATAGCTTTTACATTCATGTTCAACTCCTTTCTTTCTATATGTTACCTTTATCATATTCATCCTGACTCAGGGAAATACAATCTACCCTCGGATTCAGTTCATTGCTATCCACTCTTTTAGCAAGAATAAGAAGTCCCACTCTAGGCATCTGGCCTAAAGATTTCCCCATTGTGGCTAGTAGTGATTAATCTCAAGGATCTCAAGAAGCAAAGTGTGATTAACAGAAATGATTATATGCCAAAGTATGGTTATAAAACACCTGACATACCATAACCTATTCTATTCCATTAATCATGACTCAGCTCCTACATTAGTGGCTTTCATTTTGATTTTAACGAGAGACATAATCAGTGGTATCATAAAGATATGTATCTTACATAGCCTATTCTCAAGCAAATTTCAAGTAAAATCCCTCTACTAATACAATGAAGATTATGATATCTTTAAATTTCTTGTGTAACTTACTTTCCTCACCTATTACTATTATTCCAAATTTCCCACAATGAAAGTGTGGAAAGACAAAGATAGCTAGAGAAGTAAAAGTCACCAGAAATTTTTGCTGAATCTTAAGGCAAACAATCAGCCAATTTCAAGTAAAATTTTCAATACAGAATGAGATTATCCATATATCTAAAGGATCTTCCTGGTTTACTGATTTTACTAACAGAGAGAACAAGCCATTCTTTGAAATGCCTTAAGCCAGTTCTAAACATCAAGAACAAAGTGAAATAGTAACTAAGATTTGTTTAAAGAGTAGAGTCTCTAAATAGCAATTCAAATAAAACAAAGTCCATCCCATTCAGTAGTACTGAGAAGCTCAGAAGAACCATGCCAATGCAATACAAGCCTAGCTTGCAAACAAAGGTAACAATATCCATATCACCTGGTGAGGTCAGCAACATGCTATAAATTGTACCTGAGTATTGAATTCAGCAGCACTAAGCACTTATTTTATTCACAAATCCTTATCAAGAGTAATAATCTAATGTCAAGGTTAAAAACATATTATAATACCACTAAACCTTCCATGCAGCTCTGGAAAAAACTTAACTCACTTGTGCAACTCCATTCCTTCTGAATAGTGCCAATATTTATAAGGACAAAAGTCAAAAGGAATAGTAGTAGGCTCCCATAATTATTAAATTAGCCAAAGCCTTGCTGTTTGTTTGTTTCTTAGTATTATAAAAATAAAAACGTGTTGATAGTAAAAAATGCAATCCACGAGAAAGAGTATACAGAAAAAATATGAGTCTTCTTCCTACTCCAGACTTCTAGTCTCATTCCCCAGGGGTACCTCTGGCAATAGTTCCTTATACAGATTTGAAGAAGTGTTGTGTGTATATATATAAATGTATGCTTTTAAAAACACAAATGAAAACATACCATACATACAATTCTATATTGTTCTTCTCAATTAACAATGTATTTTAGAGATTCTTGCCATATTTCCACCTATGGATCCACTTTATTCTTTCTAAGAGCTGCAAAGTACTAAATTGTATGAAGGCATTTATCTACCAGACCTCTGGTGAGGAATGGTTAGGTTATTTCTAGTTTTTTTTTTTATTTCAAATAATATGGTGATCTTTATATAGAAATTTTTGTGTGCAAGCACAAGTATATCTGAAAGATGAATTCCTAGAAGTACTGCCTGATTTTAGAATTGAACAAATTCTAAACAAGAAACCAGTGTATCTATAAAGGAGACCAGGAAAAACTACAAGTTTAATGCTTAGTGATTAAAAAGTGCCAAACATTATCACAAAGTTAGAAGTTAAGGTTTTGAAAATTAACAAACTCCTAAACTAGGAAAGGTAAAATAGAAAAAAAAAAAGAGAGAAACTTTATCCCCTGGGACAGACAGATAAAAGGCCTGGAGAATTAATCATCTAAGAGATTTTTAAAAAGAAAAAAAAAGAGCATTAATAAGGCAGGATAAAGGGGAAAAAAAACATTTTTTTGGTCTCTTTTTTTGCTTTAACCTAAGGCATAAAATAAAACTGGCCAGAAGATTTGAGACACATACTATTACAGAGCCAAACTTGGATGTGAGATGATTTAAATGACTATTTCAGGCTCCATTCCTACAGGGTATCCATAGGTTTATATATTTTACCAGGCTCTCAAGTGTTGAAAGGAGATCTCCCAAAAAAAGAAAGCAGAGCAGTATCCTTCCAGGAATAATATACCTTGTCAATCTCTTTAATTTCTGATCACTTTTACAGGGAAATAGTTAACAATTGCCTCATGTATACAAAACAAACCTTGAAAGGTCCAGATTAAAGCATCATTTAAAGAGAGTCAGCCTATACTTTTCAATCACAATCCTACAATTTCCTAGACCAATCCCAGGCTGTTCTATTTCTCACCTAACATAAAACACAGTCAACAACTTACCTTTCCCAAAGTGCTAGGATTTGAATGCCACAATACAAATTGATTCATGTTTTTGTCCATTAATGGTCCGTGGATTTCTTTAAATGAAGTCCATGATAGAGTCCATAGATATCAGTGTTCTGAAAAACTGAAAACCTCAAGAATGTCAATGCACGCACCTAAGTTACCACTTGGATACCAATTTATTATGAATAACAGTTATATAGTCTATATTATGAATATAGACATTTAGATGTTCATAATTAGTGGACATGATATTGAATAGCAGATTGAGGCAGCAAAATCAGACTTTAAGACATTAATATTAACATAAATCTAGAGGATCTCAAAACATTACTCTGTACCATATTTATATGTATTCTAAAGATGGCACCATAGTAAGAGCATACAAAAATGGCGATGATTTGGATACCAACACTTTCCAGAAATTGGGAAAACAAGTTTTAAAGGCAAGCAAACTTTTTAAATTTAAATGACTGCAATAATGTATTTAAATGTCTACTTTTCTTTTAACCTATTTTTAAGAACAGCTTAGATTTGTAAATCTAAAAATGCTTACTAGTTTCTTTTTTGTAAAAACAAAAGAAAACAAGCCATAAATTCAGGTTTTCCCACTCCATTATATCCAATCTAATGATAAGATTCTAGAACCTCTTAGGAGCTACTATCTCATTAGATAGCACACAGCCCATACACACAATCACCTCACTGGGACTGCATCTAGATAGTGATTCATGCCCAGATCCAATTACACAGCCTGCATTACCAGTCGTCTGCGCTTTTTTTCACCTGACAACCAAAAACAATCTGGTTACAGTACTTGTTCTTTAGGTCTATGCCCACTCTTCATCACATAAGACATCTAAACAAATACTTTAAGAAGGAAACAATTTAATCTTCAGGGATTCACTCGTTTGGAGGCCTCCTTATGGAAGGGGTTAACCTTATGTAAACATACCAGGTGAAACCTCTGACTGGAATTTTACAAATTACTATTTTCATCTTTATTGTGAAATAATTCTCATTTACATCTCAAATGTAAGAACTACTCCAATATAAGAAAGGAAACGTTAAGAAAAAAGAAAGTAAGTTCAGATCGCTGAAAAGAAAGCACTTAGAACACTAATTAGACGCTCAGGGCTACAATTGCAGCTTATCATTTGATGGCCAACTCCTCTCTCATATCATTCAAGTGAAAGTTCTTCCCAGAAAAGTAAAGGAACCTGAAAGAAGCTAAATTAATCGCCTTATCCTCCTTATCCACACCAGAGAAAAATATTAACACACATTTCTAAATTTCAATATGAACAAAACAATAACAGCAACGTCCTGAATCTCTATTGCACCGGCATCCTCGTAAACCACTGCTTAGCAAACTAAGCCGGAGTCACTTCGCCATTCAGAGGTAAGGATACTGAAGTTCGGGAGAAGTTCCCCCCGCTGAGCCAGAATCAGGTTCGTGCCTTCATTTGTTCGTTCATTCACTCATTCGACAGCATCTAAAGAATGCCTAATAGTAGCAAGGCACTGTCCTGGATTAAGAGATGAAAAGACGATGTCCCTGTCCCCTACTAGCAGCACAGGTGGGGGGGTCAGGGTAAGTGGAAAATGAACTCTTAAGTCAGCTCATCTCAGTGCCCAGTCTCCACCTCTCTACCCCCGAGTGCCAACGCTCCGGAGCCCATGACCCGCAGCCATGAGCGACTCCTAGAAGTCTCAGCCCATCTGTATTTCCTCGACGACTCGGCCCTCACGACCCGGTTCCCAAAGTTCCTTGCATCCCTATCTCCCCAGGGAGTCCCACGCCAAGGAGCCTTTCCTCCAGCCACCTAATGCGAGATTCACCTCTCCCTGTCCGAGCTTGGGGCCCCAAGCAAACTGGGCCACCGATCCTAACTCCCACCCTTTCTCCCGTCCAGGTTCGGCCCGCAGGTTACCTGCCCGGGATCCAAGGTGCTAGGATGATCACACAAGCTCCGCCCCGCCCATCGCGACGCCCTCCACAACCAGGTTCCGCCCCCGGGGCGTGACTTCCTGGACGTCACTTCCGGCCGTACCGCTACCGGGCTTTGCAGTCCAGTTAAGCGTTTCACCGTGCTGTTGATGTCACTTCCGACCTGTTCTTTGCTTTGCCCCGGATGCGGGAGCTCTGCAGATCTGTTTACCCGCTTCTCTTCTGCCAGGTTTCCTAAACTGCGGCTCTGTCATCCAGCCTGGAAAAGTGCATTTTTTGTTTTTCAGACTTCTTTGCCAGCTTCTGCAGCCTTCTCTGCTGCGATCACTTCCCTCTGCTCCTTCTGTACCTGGAACTCATCACTTCTTCCAACTCCCCCGGCCCCTCGAGGAAATCAGACGGTTGTTCGTGTGATTCTTATTTCTCTGCCCCGTAGAGTGCTTGGGAATGCGGCCTCTGAGATTGTGCTGCCTAGTTTCAAAGGCTGCCTTTCTCTTGTAAAGGTGTTACCTAGGCAAGTTACTTAACTTGTCTGGGCCCGTTTCCTCAAGTGTGAACCAGAGATAACACTAGTACCTAGAACATAGGATTGTTGTCAGTCTTACTTGAGATAACACATAGAAAGCTCTGGCACAATGAAGGCACTCAATGAGTATTAACTGTTACCAGCGCCCTCTTGTCCCTGGAACATAGAAGTGGTAAGGGAGGCTGGAACCAGTTTTCCTGTTATCCTTTGTATCCTCGGCTTTTAAGTAAGAGGTTAATTAATGATGCTTGGTACCTTCCCTCTCTGAACTGTGAGCTCCTCCAGACAAAGATGGAATCTTATATAGGAACCAACTTCAACCCTTATTGAAATCATTTGCTTGGTTATTGTGCTAGATCCTGGGGGCAAGATGAATAAAACCCAGGCCCTGCCTTTAAAGACATGGAGATACTTAATAACCCAACCCAGAAGGTCAACCCGGAAAAAAACGGGACCAGCTGAGCTGAGGATTTATCTGTAGAACAAAAATTCACAGAAATTTAGAACTGAAAAGAACTTTAGAGATTATCATTAGTTAACTCCTTGCTGTTACAAGTAAGGAAAATTGGATCCAGAGAAGCAATGGACTAAAAGTCATACAATTAGTGGCAGGGCTAGGACCAGAAGTGGAGTCTCAAAATGCTCACCACCTCCTCCATTCCCCAAATCTGCCTCAAGGTGTTAATAAGGTAAAAGCAAATTCACTTTCAAGACCTTCACTCTCAAGTGAAAAGGCCTAGGAAAATCCCAGTCCAGAGAGACAAGAGCCCTATAACCTAGCAGATGCCACACAATTCTGATTATTGTTTGAATGATCTGGTCTGGCCATTTCAAACACAGTAGCCTTCTCTCCCTTGGCAAACCTCTTATATTCACCTAGAAATGAGAGGTTGAGTGTCAGCTCCTGTGAGCTCTACCTTCAGTTTTACTCGGCTGGACAGGAATAAGTAGCTGATCCAAGCAGTTCCCTAAGATAAACGTAAAGACTCTGTGAATGCACTGCCAATGACGTGGCACAATTTTATTTAGACTTCTCTATTTGGAAGCAATTTCTCAAATATTCAACCTTTGTTTTAGGAATATGACAAAGCTAGCATAGGTATTATTATTGAAATGTTGGTAATGAGTCTGTGTTCCAAATAACCAGGTAATCCCATAGACCCACAGAATAATACAGTTGGGATAGATGAAATTTAAGGTTTCTTCCAACCGTCATTAAAAAGTCAATAATATTTTTAATGAATCTATGGACCATAGGAATTGAATAATGTGCTGAAAGTCACCAAGTTAGCTGGTGGCAGTCAGTTTTAGAATCTAAGCCTCCTAATTCCATTTATCCATTTATTCATTCAGGCATTAGGGATGAAAAGATGAATAAAATAATCCCCTGCCTTCAAGGAGCTTCCTATCTGGTGAGGGAGGCAGACCTTTTAATAGAAAAATAATTCAGTGTTAATGTTATCATAGATCTATCTGGTTCTTTCTTTCAACCAGTGCACTCTTCCCCCTTTGCTACCAATATACCACAACTTGACAAAAATATGATGTTTTAGTCAAACTTTAAATCATTTAAACTACTTTTTTAAGAGTTTCAAATAATCACAATTTACACAGGTCTTAGGGTCAGCTTGTTTGGAGTTCAGAGTTAATAGCTCTGCTAACTAGCCGAATGACCTTAAATCACTTTACCTCTCAGCCTCATTTTCCTCTTGAAGGTTCTTCCTGGAGTAAACCTTGTCTTCTCTGGTCTAGTAGAAAAAAATGCATGATACTTCCCACTGTGACCACTAGATGGCTTTCTTTTTTTTCTTTTCTTTATTTCTTCCTTTCTCTTCTTCCGTCCTTCCTTCCTTTCTTTTCTTCTTTGTCTTCCTTCCTTCCTTCCTCCCTCCCTCCCTGCCTGCATGCCTTCCTTTCTTCCTTTCTTCCTTCCTTCCTTCTCCCCTGCCTTCCTCTTTCTTTCTTCCTCGTTTTTCTGACCAAAGACATCATTGCACTGCCTACCTGAACAACCACTCACATGGTTAACAGCTGAGTATCCCAAGACTCTGGGAGATGATGGGCCTAAAATGTTTGTTGAATGAATGAGGGAAAGAATGAATGGATCCCAGGATTAGTTCTGGGCCCTTCTATCCCCCACTACTACTGCCCCTTTGTCCTGTTAAAATACTTCCCCTTTTGAAAGCTGTGCTGGTGGGAAGAAAAGAAAAGATGAGATAATAGATAGCAGTTGGATTGGGAGAAGAATGCAAGTTGGATTGGGGGGAGAATGCAAAGGCATTGGGTTGCATCTCAAAGCAAACATCAGTGCACTGTGGTATTTATGGATGAAATAATATAATGCCTGAGGCATTTTAAAATAATATGGGAGGGTTCAGATGATAAAGGTCGGTCATATATTGATATTGTTGAAGCTGGGTATATTGGGTTTCATTATATTCTTTCTGTTTTTTGTGTATGCTTCAAAATTTCCACAATACAAAGCTAAAAATAAGAGAAATCCTGAGTACATTTCCCTTCCTCTAGACGAGACCCAGTTCAAATATCCCACTGAATCTCAGTTAGGATGCTTTTGCCTGATGTCACAGAAAACTTGTCACAGACTGGGTTTTTTGAAAGTAGACACTGATATGGAGATGAGGAAAAAGATTTTTATTAGGAATAGACAAGAAGCATGATTGGTCAGAGGAAGAAGTTGAACTGCTGTTCAGGTCCAAGGAATCCTTAGCCAACTTGGGAAGACGCTCTGGTGTGAATAGTGCCCCTCCAAGTATCTTGTGTCAGCCTGAAATGGCCAGCCCTTTATACTGGATACGGTCTGCCCCAGGAAGAGTGAGATCTCAAGCAAGGTGGCACTCTGCAGCTGAGGCAGACCCTGAAGAATCTGACGACTGGGGCAGCCTGCTAACCACGCTCCCTGGAGCTATGCAGCAAATTCTTCTCTGGAGGGGAATCTGGACAGCACATCTTTGCATATTCCACAAAATGCAACACAAACTGCTTAAACAATAGAACGTATTGACTTCTGTAACTGGACTGTTATGATAGGCATCAGGGTTGGTTGCTCTAGCAACTCAGTGATATCCAGGACCTATATTTCTTTCCCTCTCCGTCTGCCTTCAGTAGCATCTGCTTCAGCTTATGGCCAGCCTCCCTGGAGGAGGCAAAATGGCTGCAGCAGTTTGTCTACACATCTACACACTATGCACTATGCACACTCTCAGAGGGGATAGACACAATTCCAAGGTGATTCTCAGGCTAGAAAAGAGAAAAATATACCTTAATTTCTGGGCTGGACACTCCATTCTCTACAATTTTTATCTTTTCAACTTTAGTATATGGCTTTACATTAGTCACCATTAAATGTCGTGCTGTCACCCACTCACCTTAGAATTGTGTATCAGTTAGGATAGGCAGAGTAATACTGCAATAAATAACTCCCAAACCTACATGTCTTAGAACAACTGGGGTTAATTTCTTACCCATGCTACAAGGTTACTCTCGGTCTGCAGAAGGACTCTGCTCGTAGCAGTCACTGAGAAACCCAGGCTGATTGAGCAACCACTGTCTTGAACATGACCAGTAGCCAAGCCAGAGGAAAAAAGAATGCTGGTGAAGCACATATTAACTTAATGCTTCCACCACTTCTGTTCACTTGGCCACAGCAATATCACATGACTTTACTTTCTTCAAGTGGGCAGGGAAGTGCAATGCTACCATGCGTAAGAAGGGGAGAAAACTAGAATATTTGTGAGCAGCACCAATGACTATTACAAAGTCATCTCTGTATTTTAGGTCTCACTGACACAGACTCATCTAGAATTCAACTGTACCAATCTGAATAAAGTACAAAGCAGCAAGAAAATTCCTCGACAGTTTTTCTCACTTAATTTTATTATAATGTGAGCAATTATATTATGCATATAAATTAAATTGTTCTGACATTATTAGTTGCTCAGCTTGAAAAATAATATAGTTCAAGGCAGAATCAAATCAAGAACAGTTCAGTGACAATTCAATGTTCAAACGCAATTCAATTTGATTCATCTCAAAGGAACATAATACTAATAATGGCTAATAATGGCTCAAAAGCTTCCCTTATGAGAGTTTCTTAACCAAGGAGGTGCATTAAAATTCCCTGGGGAGCTTTTTTAAACTTCTGAGTCCACCCAGAATCAGAATGTCCCAGAGTGAGTGCCAGATGTGTTTATTTGCAAAATGCATGCTTCTCCCTCCCCTCCCTTGGTAGACAGTATCTACTGTCCCATAATACAATAAAGCAAGCAACATGAGGGCAAGTATCATGTCTGTTTTTGCTCACATTGCATTAGCAGTACCTAGCACACACAACTGCTCAGTAAAAATATGATCAGTCAAATATTTATTCACAAAACATAGTTATCAAATAATGCACATCATATCCATAAGGATTCCATGAGCTAACCTTGTTAAATCTCTCTGGGAATCTCAATGCATTTCTCTGACCTTCCAATGTATTAATCCTTTCAAAAACTAAAATGAA